TATGGAAATCTCACCATCCCCTTAGCCATCCTGTAAACCAACAAATAATGGCTTTAGCTATTTCTTGGTCTTGATTCTACTTATTTTGCACGTAGTTGCGTACATGGTCATATGCTTCATTAAATCAAGAATCTGATTTTCAGACATTCCATCAATATTCCAATTTACAATGGTTCTTCCAGGTATAGAGCTGGTAATTAAATCTTCTTCGAACTGGAGATCTACAGAAGTAGGCCTAGGATAATACATTCTTATCTGTGAAGTAGGCCTAAACTTTTTCCCATAATCTATGCTATTTATTTCAAGGCTTTCTGTTTTGAAAGCTTGTTCTATTTCATTTAAGTTCGTTTTTGGAAAAGGATTCTTCTTGAAGAACCATAGCTCCTTGATCAGATAACTAGTCTTGAAAGTTACACCCTTTTCTTTTATATTTAACTTTGCTAATTTTTTTACTAACTCATCCACCAATTCTTTATTGTCATCTTTCTTCTTTATTTCGTGAGGACTGAACTGCTCTTTTTTTATAGTTGGAGGAGGTTTGAATAGTAAAACTTTCTTTCCTTTAGACTTATGATCCGTCTTTTTATCCTGAGGTTTATTCATCATATTTTCAATCCTGATAGTCTGTCTTTCAATAGTTTGTAAACAGAAATTTGTGCAGCAGGCCTTGCCCTCTGTACAGATCTAAAGCTGAAGAGAGCTAGAAAAACAGAGAATGACAGGAAGAAAAGAGTTAGGAGATTTTTGTAAACTTTTTGGATTTAATACTCTCCCTTCTTCGTAGGGGGCAGAAGATTTTTATAATTATTTATAATATTATTAAATTCTATCTCATCATCTGTATTAACAAGGCTATCTTCAACAAGGTTAGAGGCTAACTCTATAATCTGTACTCTATTTTTTAAACTCATCAGTTCATTACGGACTTCATTTATTTCCTACCTCAATTCAGAGATAGGAGGTTCTTTAGGGCTATTATTTTTGTCCTCAACCCTCCTAATAATTTTGGCAAAACTATAGTCCTCTTGAGTGCGAACTAGAGGAGGAGATGGGTTTTAAATCCAAACTGTTCAGAAAAATCTCCTAACTCGTTTCTTCTAGTCCTCCTCTGTTTTTGTAGCTGTCTCTTCAACTTTAGATATGTACAGAGGGCAAGGCCTTCTGTACAAATTTCTGTTTAAAAATATGATGAATAAACCTCAGGATAAAAAGACGGATCATAAGTCTGAAAGAAAGAAAGCTTTAGTGTTCAAACCTCCTCCAACTATCAATAAAGAGCAGTTTAGTCTTCAAGGAATAAAGAAGAAAGATGACAATAAAGAATTGGTGGATGAGCTAGTAAAAAATTAGCAAAGTTAAATATAAAAGAAAAGGGAGTAACTTTCAAGATTAGTTCTGATCAAGGAGCTATGGTTCTTCAAGAAGAATCCTTTTCCAATAACGAGCTTAATGAATTAGAACAAGCTTTCAAAATAGAAAGCCTTGAAATAAATAGAATAGATTATGGGAAAAAGTTTAGGCCTACTTCACATACAAGAATGTATTATCCTAGGCCTACTCCTGTAGATCTCCAGTTCGAAGAATATTTAATTACCAGCTCTATATCTGGAAGAACCATTGTAAATTGGAATATTGATGGAGTGTTTGAAAATCAGATTCTTGATTTAATGAAGCATATGACCATGTACGCAACTGCGTGCAAAATAAGTAGAATCAAGACCAAGAAATAGCTAAAGCCATTATTTGTTGGTTTACAAGATGGCTAAGGGGATGGTGGGATTTCCATATGGATGAAAATACAAAAAATAAAGTATTAACTGCCACCAAACAGTGGGCAATTAAAAATGAGTTTGGGCAAGATGTAATAAATAATGAGAGTGATGCAACCAATATTTTAATGTATACTATTACTCTCCACTTTGTGGGAAGTACTGCACTACTCGATGCAAGATCAGAAGATCTACTTTCTAATATCAGATGCCCAACACTATCCCATTATAAATGGTATAAAGATGTGTTATTCTCCAGACTCCTTTTTAGAGAAGATAGTAAATCTGATCACTGGAAAGAAAACTTCATTTCTGATTTACTCCATCTTTTTGCCGAGAAGGTGAAACACGATTAAAGAATAAACATGGAGGAATAATCCATATTCTTCAAATACATTGGGCGAGTTATCAGCCGAAATTACTGCAGAAGGCCTTGCCCTCTGAACAGATCTAAAGCTGAAGAGACAACTAGAAAAACAGAGAATGACTGAAAGAAAAGAGTTAGGAGATTTTTGTGAACAGTTTGGATTTAATACTCTGCCTTCTTCCAAAGATTCTGATAGAAAAAGATATAAAAATAGGAAATATAGCAGCAAGCCAGGATCCAATAGAAATACTGTTAAAGAAAAATTTTCTAAGAAATTTTCCCCCAAAAGTAATTTTAAAAGGGCTAGGGGAAAAAGAAGAATCCCTGTTTGTTATAATTGTGGTAAGGTAGGACATTATAAAAATAACTGCAGAATCAAAAAGAAAATAGATGCTTTACAATTAGATGATAATATTAAAGATCAACTGTTTAATATACTGCAGATTAATGAAGAATCTTCTAGTAATTCTTCTGATTCTGAATTAGAGATGCTAACTGGAGAGATAGAAAACGAAGATTAATCCTTAGCAGTTATGACTCAGATGATAATAATATTGATGCCTCTTGTTTTTGTAACACCCTTACCAAAGAAGAAAATTTGATTATAGATATAATTGATAAAATAACTGATCCTTAGACTAAGCGGGAAGCTTTAGTCCAATATATAACAATAGCCAAAATGAATAAAAACCCCTCTCCTCCGCTAGTTCGCACTCAAGAGGACTATAGTTTTGCCAAATTTCTTAGAAAGGTTGAGGACAAAAATAATGGTCCCAAAGAACCTTCTATCTCTGAATTGAGGCAGGAAATATATGAAGTATGTAATGAACTAATAAGCCTAAAAAATAAAGTACAGATTATAGAGTTAGCCTCTAACCCTTTCGAAGATAGCTCTGTTAATACAGATGATGAGATAGAATTTAATAATATTATAAATAATTATAAAAATCCTCTGCCCCCTACAACAGAAGAATTTCCCCCTAAAATAGTTAAGGATGAACCAGAATCCTCTAATACAACACAAGATTGTAATTACATTAGTCTTCTTGACAAAGTATTTACTCAAAAATAGTTCACTATGATAAAAATAATAGTTAAAAAAGAATATAGTTTTCAAACTCTTGCTCTAATAGATTCAGGAGCAGATTTGAATTGCATAAATGAAGGATTGGTCCCTACTAAATATTTTAGTAGGACCACTCAAGTCTTAAACACAGCAGATGGCAGTAAGATGATCATAAACTATAAACTGTCAAATGCTGTAGTATGCAATAATAGCAATTGCTTTGAGTTCCATAATAAGGATTAAACCAATCAGTAATTCTGGGAACTTTATTTCTAAATATACTTTACCCAATAAAAATCGATTATACTGGAATTGAAGCAAACATAGAAGGACATGATGTGAAATTTGAGTTTTTTGCAAAGCCAAAAACTCGAGAAATTAATAATATAAGAGAGTAAATTTCTAATAAAGAAAGGTTCTTTTATTTCCTTAAAGAAGAAATAAAATATAAAACAATAGAAACTAAACTTCTACTTCCTGAAAATAAAAGGGTACTAGAAACCCTCAGAAAAAATATTGAAACACAGATATGTGCTGAAATTCCAAATGCCTTTTGGAATAGGCAAAAACATATTGTTCATCTGCCCTATGAAGCCACTTTCCATGAAGAGAAAATTCCTTCCAAAGCTAGATCAATCCAAAAGAATCGCAGGCTTCTGGAAATATGTAAAAAAGAAATTGCTGATTTACTTCAGTAAAAGCTCATTAGGAAAAGCTCATCTTGTTGGAGCTGTTCGGCATTCTATGTGGAACAAGCTTTTGAAATAGAAAGGGGGGCTCCACGATTGGTTATAAATTATAAACCGGCTTTGATACCAGATGGCCCACGTAAGCAAAATAATAACAGAAAACACTTATACTAAAGAAACTTTAAAGGAAAGATAACAATTTTGTAAAAATAAATACTATTAGACAGAAAACACACAATGGAGTCGATATATTAACAATAATCCAACGAACATAAATAGCATGCCAAACTCTTATGTAGACAAATATTTTAAACTGCATGAAGAAAAATAGATAACTTACATATGACACTTGTAGAAACTGGAAAACAACTTCCACTCGTCAGGACAGTAGTTGGGTAACGAGTGGCAGTTACAATCACACATATAGCAAATCCTCTAATAGAAATGTGATCTGGTGGGCTGGATACACCACTAGATATACAATCAGGAGAGAGTAGAGTTGTATAGAGAGAGAGAGAAAGAGAGAGAGTACAGTTGCAGAAAGAGAGAGAGAGGAAAACTTGAGAACAAAGAGCAGAGGAAGAAAAACCTCTCGGATGCCTTCTTCAGCCCAGACCTCCTCCTTTTATAGCCCTCGTATCATCAAACAGATTTCAAAGTGTTTCAAGTCCGCCCAATTGGTGGCTGCCATCTGGTTACAGTGAAAAGGTGTCGGTAGAAAGGACAAGCTAGTGGCTACAGTAAAAGGTGTCGGCAGAAAGGACAGGCTAGTGGCTACAGTAAAAGGTGTCTGTGATGTTGATGTGAATAGGAAAAGGTGAAGGTTACTACTATTTTGATGGCTTTTACTATTCTATGGGCAGGACTCGTGTGCTTTTGGGTTGCAGTCGTTCCGTCCTTTGTATTGTTTTATCCTCTATTGTGATATTCTGAAGTCCATGTCTTCATTTTCTTGTTCGTAGTTCTCCTCATTTTGTGTTGATGTAGACACCGTCTCTTCTTCTTCATCGAATATTTGGAGCAGCTTCTTTTTGAGTTCTTCCCTAGTTGAAGTAGGGTTTTGTTGCCGAAGCTTATTTATATAATCTGCATTTTTACTTTTGTAACAGGGGGTGAAAATGGTACCTTTCACACTTTCATTTTATCAGGGTTTAGAGCTTCATTTTCGTACACATCCCACCACTTTATGTATATTTGCTTACCTATTTATGGGATATATTCCCAATTGTTTGTATAGTCATCAGATATGTGGTAGGACCATTTCATGATCCATGGTATTTGGCATAAAGCCATAAAGTATATATGAAGGTCTATTTTTGAATTATTATTGTTATATTCTAGATCCCCATAATTGGAACCAATTCTTGTACCAATTTGGAAATTCTCCTGGTATTGGTATTTTTATTTGTATGAACCATGTATGCGAATTATTAATATTTTGAAAAGCAAAGACCTCATGCCATGCTTTAATATATTGAAAATATTGATAATATTTATCGTTGAAACCTTCATTTTGTAATTTTCTAGGTTTCAAGGGGTCTGTCCCCCATTCTTTGTATGTAATTATTTTCCTTACTTGAAATTTGGAAAATGCTATCATATTAATATTTTTCTTATAAAAATGGACTATGGTAACATATCCGGTTTCAAGAAGAATGGTTTCATACCACTCTCGGCTTTTGTCTCTATTATGTGGGTGCGAATGGTTTTTCAAATATATAGTGGCTACTTCACAAGGGTCCTCGTCTTTATGAATGTCTTTTATTACGGTAGTGGTTATGAAAGAGGTTTTTAGAAACTTGCTCTTTTCTCCAATTGTATTTATAGCTATTGGTATTGGTTCAAGAGAAAAAGCAATTTCTTGAGCTTGTTTTTTGATTATTTGGTTTGGGGTTAATGGTGATGATGATGTTTCCAAGGGTTTACTTGGCACGGGAACTATTTCCATTTTACCCTTTTTTGCTAAACTCATCTTGTTCCCCTGTAAAAACTCACGAGTTAAAAAATCAGGAAGGTAATTAGTAGTGCCTTTAATATGCTCAATTTCAAATTCAAAGGAAGAGAGAATACCTTGCGATCGAGCAAAAATCTGTTTGGAGACGAGGTTTTTGACATATTTAAGGAGTATGTCTTTTGCAGCTTTACAATCGGTTCGAATGAGGAATTTTTTATTAAGTAAATCACTCTGAAATTTTGTGACACAGAGGAGAATAGCAAGGAGTTCTTTTTTAATAGTGGAGTAATTTTGTTGGGTCGGATTCCGGGCTCGAAAAGTAAAACAATCCAATTGTTCAGTATTAGAAATTTTTTGTTTTAATATTCCTCCCAACTCTTTTTCTGAAGCATCACATTCAATTATTTTAAAAGCAGTAGGGTCGGAGAGTGTAAGGCAAGGTAATTTTTTAGCATTTATTTTTATTTTCCTGACTGTTGAAGTATGCACATCTGTCTATTCAGGAGGATTCTTTTTTAATCTTTGAAATAATAGTTTAACATCAATAGTTAAATCTTTATAAAAATCAGCAATGTAATTGAGACTACTCAGAAATCGTTGGAGTTCAGTTTTGTCTTTAATCACATCCGGGAATTTATTGGCAAACTCAATGGCTCTATCAATAGGAATTATTCTTCCTTGGAAAATATTGTGTCCCAGAAATCTAATTGTTGTTTGACAAAGACTAATCTTTTTGGCAGAAACTACCAACTCAACTACTTTGATGGCTTTGACAAAAATGTTTAGATGTTTCTAATGTTGTTCTAGATTCTCAAAAAACACTAGGACATCATCAATATAGACAAGCATAAATTTAGTATAGGGATTGAAGATATTATTCATGATATTTTGAAATTCTGAAAGGGCATTTTTTAGCCCGAAGGGCATAACATTTCATTCATATTGTCCGAAAGGAACATTAAAAGCAGTTTTATAACAACCTTTTCTAAATTTGATCTAA